ATACACATACAGTATATATACTGTATCTGTGCGGTTATTGGTGGGTGTGGAGGTGTGGATGTTGGGGGGGTGTCCTGTGGTCTTATTAAGTATATTTCATACATTTGTAGTTTCAGCTCTTTTTCCTTTTCTTATTTTCTTTCTTATCTTCTCACTTATAAAAAAGAAAGTCACTGATGATGAAGAAATAAATAAACTAATAATATTTGGTTTCGTTTTCTACTGAAGTGACAAAAGAAAAAAAAAACTAATTTGTTCAAGATTTGAAAAATGTCAGTTAAAACTTTAGCTTCATCATCCAACAGTTAGAAATATCGAAGTTCTTTAAGCTCCAAAACTGGAGTTGCAGATTTTATTTAGTACTTTTCTTATCAGATTTTGACCAAACATTTCTAAAGTTTTTTCAAAAACAACAAATGAGATACAAAATGTCTTTAACCACTGTGTTCTTCGTGAACTTTAAGCCTTTTTAACTTTTCACATCTGTATGAAGCTTTTTAGATTCTGTTTTTTACAGCTGAAACCAACTTTTAACAAATTTATTGATTTTTTTTACTTTTTGCCAGAGGAACTTTTACTCTTCTGACTGAAATTTCTCAATAACATCATAAACACTTCTGCTTGTAATGTTCAAATTGACTTTTTTTTGCTTCGGGGATTGTTCTGGTTTTTAATAACATTTTTCATACTCTGGCACAGAACTTCTCTCAGTGCTAAAGTTAAAAAAACAACAACATATTTTTAATATAGTAGTTAAATTAGGTTATTTCATTTAAAACTAAAGACTTATTTTGTGTTTTAAAATTAATCTAATTCTTCAAAAAGGTGGTAAAAAATTATGCTTGGGGTATTTATTTTGTTATAGTTCATAAACATTTCATCATAAAACCAAGTAGTTAAGGTGCATGTGAGATGAGGTAAAATGTCCCGACCAGCCGCTCAGAGATATAAAACTTATTACTTCAATTCAATTTCCTACCTGAGAGGAAGGAAATCTCACTGATGAGCAGCCACTGGTCTGCAAAGTAYAATCTGCAGCGGAGGATTTGAGCCAAACGACCGGCCAGTGGGAGGGAGATGGGTCGTGAAGAGGGGTCCTTCAGATCCTCGAGGGGTACGGGTAAGGTGAGGGCAGGAGAGGACCAGGGCTGGAGGAGGCTGGGCTTGAAAAGACACTCCACTTTACTGAAGACTCGCACGCCCTGCGTGTGCCGGTTGTTACTGTGCACCTAGGATAAAAGTCAGAGCGAAAGAAAAGATATGGATCAAGATGATGGGATCAGTACCACCTGCGAATGTGAATGAGCTGAGAGATGTGAGAAACTCTGACATGTTTATTATTCATTGTGGGTGAGGCGGCAGGGGAAGATTAAATTAACACATAAAATTAATGACACTTTTTTTTCCTGTTAAACCATAATTGCATTTGGCACAACGTAGAACTGAGCAGGAATGTAAATGAAAATAAATCAACGCAGGGTGGGTCACAAAAAAAAGGAGCAAGACAAAGAGATTCAGCTTATATCTCTAATTTTCCCAAGAGCAGAATCCACAAAAGCTGATTAACTTTACATCAATGTGGCAGAGAGAAAAAAGAGGAGTTAGCGATAAGAGGAGGATGTGGAAGGAAAAATGAGCAGGTGAGATGTCAAAACTTTAGCATTGAGAGGTATAAAAACCTAAAAAGAAAGTAGGTTTCAAGGATGGTGTTTATAATAAAAAAGCTAAAATACCTAACAAACACAAATTTAAAATATTACTTCACATTTTGTGAAATTTAAAATGAAACTGGCACCAAACAGTCTGGAGAAAATTCCAGACTTGTTTATTTAATGTCTCTCATGGTACAGACTGATTGACAGACATCTGGTCACGCCCACTCGGTTTGCTGCTCATTGGGGCTAATTTTATTCAGCCCAGAATAACACCACAAGCTTTAGCCCTTTTCTATTCTTTGTGTTTGCTGTTTGGAGGAAACACAGCTTTATTACATACATTATATATCTGCTAGCCCACCCTACAAATATCACCAGCAGCTGCCACTGGTGGGTTAGTATTTTCTTCTAGAATAGAGAAGTTGGTGCAGAGGCTGATGTGACAGGTTGGATGTTAACCTCACACAGTGCAGGAGCGGGCGCTCTAATCTAATCCACATGGTAGAAAGCAAGACGGCCAGCTGCACCAGACGCTCTGCTGATGTGTAAGCATTTGTCTGGGCAGGGACAAACGTCTGTGTGTGTGTGTGTGTGTGTGTGTGTGTGTGTGTGTGTGTGTGTGTGTGTGTGTG